TATATAAGTCAAGAAATATGAATTTTCAAACAATTATTAAAATTGACCTTCTTATTTGTTACTTAATTTAATTAGATTTATAATCATTATTAGCTTTTGTCACATGTTCATATTCCTTACAAATTTTTTATATTTGAAATTATTATGTTTTTTCTCCTTTTCTTTCTATTCATGTGTTCTAATCTACCTTTACTTGATCTGTTTTATTCTTTAAAACCTCCACTATTGAATGTTTGGAGTTATTTTTACAACTTTCTAATCTGACAATTCTATCTTCTAATTTGAATAATCTAATAAAGGGTCTTTGAAATTGAGCGCCTTTTTTAGAAAATAAATAAAATATAGATGGTGCAGTGAATTTTTCCAGGTATTTTGACAGTTAAAAAGTGTGACGTTATGACATTTATAAAAATGGCTTTGTACACAATACAATGTTCAAGTTGTTGAATTATTTTATGAAAATCAGTGTTCTGTGAAAATACTGCTGGTAATGCTGTAACAGTGAATAGTGTTCAATATCGTGAGATGTTAACTGAATTTTTGTGGCCTGAACTGAATGATATTGATCTAGTGCAGGGATCGCCAGAGTTGGTCGATATCAATCCCCAGGAGTCGATGTAACATTATTGGGGGGGTCGTTGGGGGGTGAATGCAGCTAAGGGGTTGATTGGGGGTAGATGGAAAAATTGAAACTAAAAATCGCAAATTTAACTATACATATTATTGTTTCAATGAATTTAATAGTACAGCTATACCTTCAACATGTAAAATGGCTACAGATCAAGTTGCACGGGACGGACAGAAATTGTTGAGTCCGTGCTCCAGTTCTTACTTACATAGCACGTCATGCACTCATAGCATTCATAAGCTTGTATTCTCAGTACGCTGACTAGCAACTCTATAGTCGTTTTTAGACGCTGTTCATATAATTTTAGTATTCCACATAAATTCTGTAAAGCAAATAAAAGTAACTACTACAAGTTTCTAACCAAGTTTCGGTTGCTATTGCTTCACTAGTGACCCAACCATTGCTCACTAGCTGCCCCTTAATGCCTGCTTAATTTTCAAAATTATCTCTGAAAAAACCATTTTTTTTTTAATTTTAAGTATCCATGTTGGAGTGAAAACGAATCCGAAAAAAAAAAAAAAAAAATAGAAAATTAGTCCGGTTGACGTTTGCGGGACTTCTACAAGTAAGTTTCGAGGAAGGTCGGGGTTCTTAGAATAAAGCAATTAGAAAAGATTTTTCATTACTACTTTCTCTCAAGGGGTAGACCGACTTAACTGTTGTAAACCAATTAGAAGATTTTGTATATAATTACGAAACTTGAAGAGGTTAAGACAAAGGTTTATAGAAGGTAAACAAATTTTATTCAATAAAAATACTGGCATAGAAAGCTAAATAATCGTTTTTTTTTTTTTAAACGAATTTTGTTCGCTGGAATCAGACTCCAGCACAGGCGTTGAGTCCCACTTTGGTCGAGGACGGTAACGAGCTAGCCTTGTTTTTCTTAGATCCAATAAACTACGCTCTGCGGTTTTTTGTTGTGTATCTATTTGTTAAAAGAAAAAAATAAGTATATGCATGTTGGGATAAAATCGTCTGGATGTACGATTCCCGTGCTTTTCCTGTTTTTGAACGAGCAACGGCAGTCGTCATGGAAACGCAGATCAGGCTATGTCATTAGTTTTGGAACTTGACCGCGGATTGGCTAGGAAACATTGTACGGCCAGCGGACGTCCGATAGCGCTACTAAGCGCTGATTGAGACTTACATTCGTTTCAATCCGATAAAAAAGGATTGAATTTAGGCGGGAATTTCAATTCTCTTAAGAGATATCCAGGGAACTCTGGTTGATCAGACGTCATCGAAGTATGTCGGACTACATCTTTACTCCATCAATTAAATCAGCGGACTTGCTGAAGAAGTTGCTTTGTCTCACCAACTTGTTAATGACTGTCCCAAGGGATTCGTCGCAAGGAGTCCTTTTCGATGGACCTATTGTTGTGGTTTAATTGACTTTTGAACTTTGCTATATCTGAATTATTGTAATTGTTTTATTTTGTGAACCTCATAACTATGTAAGTTTTAATCTTGACTACGCCTAAAGAAGCAACACCTCGTTTATTGGATTTAATATCAAAAAATTGAGCGGTGGCAAGCTAAACTCGGTTAGAAAATTGTAGTTACTTTTGTTCACCTTGATACGATGTAACTTCATTTCTTTTATTATTTATAGAATCCTAATTCTGCAATGGCAGCTTCAGTTTCTAAAAAAAATGTCGACAATATTCATTGGATTATTTAAAGGTTGGATTTATTCCTTCTCCAACAAATGAAACGATACCTATGTGTCTTCTTTGTGAGAAAACTTTTATAAATAATGCGATGAAACCAGCTAAAATGATAGACCATCTTGAGAGAGTTCATTCTGATAAAAAAGATAAAGATCTTGATTTTTTTTAAAACACTTAAAAGAAAATTTGCAACACGACTAAATATAAAAAGTTTTATGAAGCCGTCTGCTTCTTCTATAATTGTTATTGAAGGAGGCTTAATCATTTCAAACAAGATTTTGCTCAATATAGCAAAAAAGGGAAAACCACACAACGGCAGAAATATAGTTGTACCTGCAATTAAAGATGTCATTAAAAATGTAATGAAAAAAGACTCCATTGATGTTTTAAAGTGCTTACCATTAAGTGCGAATTCAGTAAACCGGCATATTGACAAAATGGCCGAAAATGTCGAAAATATAGTAGTTTCAGAGCTCAAAAATTGCAAATTTTCTTTCAACTTGATGAGTCTGTTTTTGATGTTTCTTCTCTTCTTATGGCTTACATCAGATATTTTAGTAAAAGTAAATGTCAAATCATTGATGAATTTTTATTTGCTAAATATCTTGAATGTGATGGAAAAGGTCTGACAATATATCGGAATTTAGAAGAATATTTGAATAAATACGACATTCCAATTAACAATATAACAGCAGTAGCCACAGATGGCGCACCTGCTATGGTAGGCCGTTACCGAGGTTTTGCAACTTTTCTTAAAGAAAAAGTCCCTGGAATACGTACTGTTCACTGTGTGTTGCATAGAAACCACCTTGTAGCAAAATATCTCATTCCAGATTTGCATAACTCTTTAAAGTTTTGTATTAAATCTATTAATCAAATTAGAGCCCACCCTCTTAAATTGAGATTGTTTTCCAAACTTTGTGAGAAAAATGACAAATTAACAAACCAGTTACTTTTACACACTGAAGTCAGATGGTTGTCTAGAGGTGCATGTTTACAAAGGCTCGTTGAGTTACTTGATTCTACGATAGAATTTTCTACCGAAATAAATTCTGTTCTGAGTGATGAACTACAAAAACATAAGAACCACATTTTTTACGTAGTGGACTTATTTGTAAAATTCAATGACATTCAAACAAGGCTCCAAGGTGAAGATGTCACAATTATTCAAGCTCAGACAATTCTTTTAGGCTTCCAAGTTAAATTAAACTTGTTTAAATCTTCATTGTTACGTAAAGATTTTCAGTACTTTCCAAATCTAAGAAAATTGCAAATAATAGATGAAGACTTGGAAATATATACAAATCATCTTCAAAAATTGAGCGATGATTTTAAAATACGTTTTGCAGATTTAGAAAATATCGATATCCTAGAATGGATTATGGCGCCATTTTCCGCTCAGATCGAAAATGTCAACATCAACCTGCAAGATGAACTTATAGAATTATTAGAAGACCTTGAAGCAAAAACACTTTTCAAAAATTTAACTTTAAGCAATTTCTGGACGAATGTAAACATAACAAAAAAAATACACTTGTGATATTGTAAATCCATCTTTTGTTGGCATTTCCAAGTTCATATATGGTCAAAGCTGGTTTTAGCCATGTTAATTCCATCTTAACCAAACAGAGAAATAAGTTAAATGTGGAAATTCGAGGCGATTTAAGACTAAAGCTAACAAATTTTAACCCAAATATTGCTAATCTTGCGAAGGAACATCAAGCTCACCCGTTTCACTGATTGTGAGTTACAAATAAATGTAAAGTATGTAAAATTAAAGGAAATGCATAGTAAAATCATTTCTCTTTCTTTTGTTTTGCTCATACACTTGCACTTGTAATAAAACTTAACTGTGGGGGTCAATGTGAAGTTTTGGAAAGTTGTTGGGGGTCAACGGTTAAAAAAGTTTGGCAACCCCTGATCTAGAGGATATATGGGGTTTCAACAGGATGGTGCAATACCTCATTTTGCTAATGAAACAATTACTTTATTGAGACAAAAATTTCCTGTAAGAATTATTGCAAGAAATGGTGATGTTAATTGGCCACCAAAATCATGTAATCAAACACCATTGGACTATTTTCTTTGGGGTTATGTAAAAAACCAGGTCTATAAGAACAAACCACAATTGATTCCTGAACTGAAGGATGAAATTATTCATGTCATTGGTGAAATAGAGCCTCAATTATGTCAAAATGTCATAGAAAATTTTAACAAAAGAGTGAATCACTATGAAGCAGCAAGAAGGCAGTCATTTGTCAGATATTATTTTTTGTATATAAATGTCATAACTGATACTTCAATTACCAATAAAAAGTTTTTAAAAATCAATACAAATTATGTCTTTTATTTATTTTTAAAAAAAGGTGCTTAATTTGAAAGACCCTTTATTAACCTCTCTAATGTTTTGTTCTACGACACCTATCTTAGACATTATTTTTTGTTTTTAATTGAAACCTTTGCTTTTCCTAATAACATTTTAATTTGCTTTAATAAGTCATTCTGAAATGTACTTAAACCTGCCCAAGACATCTCTAATTTTGCTTAAACTTTAGGTAGTAAAGATCAATAGTTCTGAAACTACAATGAAATGCTGAAATTCTGTTTATTTACTAGCACTTCCTCATCTATATTTTGTTAGTAGCACACAAACTACTTGTTATAATAAATCACCATTTCTATTTGCTCATAACTGACTTCTGTAGAAACACTCCAATATTGACAAGAGTAGAAAATACCCCTATATTCCTTATAGATTTGTGTACCAAACTGATACATTTATCCCACTGTAAGTCCACACTCCATTATCCTTATATAAAATAAGAATAAATTATTTACAGTGAATGAGGATTATATTATAATATGTTATAGACTTGTATGGTTTTAAATAAACTGATATCTCATTTGATAATTGATATTCTAGTAAAAGTATAGAGTGATGTAATTTGAAATAGATCAATTGGTATCATTTAAATTGAATTCATCTCAGTTGAGATATTTCATATTGTCCTAATTGATGTTAAGCACAATTAGCTTAATAATAATAATAATTAGCATGAACAAATATACTCAAAACCAGTAAAAGGAATAAAATTATTTGCTGATCAGTAAATAATTTTGTTTTATTGGATTTGGGTTTATTTGTGTATTTTTCATTCCATACAATCAGTTTTTGAAGAAGTAAATGTGCAGATGAAAATTATATATATATATATATGATTATTAATATGAGAAAAGTATGGTTACTGAGGAACTGTGGACTATTAATTTCCCAACTTGACACTAGAATATATGAACCTGATGTATTCCATCTAGTTGTTCTAATCATGTTATTTCTAATTAATATTTGTAGCATAATTTCTGCCTGATTAATTTGGCTGATGGTTGGATGACTGTAGAATCTGATTATAATCATGGATTTTATCAATTGTTTAATGTTATCAGAATTATTAAATTTCAAAACATAAAATTGAAATATACTATAAAACTTATTGTAATCAGAGTTCTGCTATCATTATTAGGTTATCATTACTGTCAGGTAATTATACATTTTTAAGCTGTCTTTTTGGGCTATCAGCTTCAATGTGTAGTTGATAATGTGCAATTATCATCAATTATCAATCTTAACCAGTGTTATAAATGTTAATGATTAAAATAATTAATATCTATTTGATTACAATATATTAGTTTAAATTGTTGATATTTCTTCAATTATATGCTAGCTGTTAAAGAAAGTACTGTGAAAACCAACTAACAATAACACTGTATACATTATACTATGTTGCACAGTGTTGGCTATCTTCGCCTCTGACCCAGACATCAATGTGGACTTTGGCCATGCATGCCTCTTACATAGCTCTTCCTGGCAACCTTTTCTCAAACATCTTGAGCAGGTGGAAATTTATAAGGCCACTTGCAATTACACTGCTATTAATTTTTGCAATGTTGACTCCTTTCCTACAGCATGGAAGTCTTTCTTTGAACTATAAATTCTTACTATCCTTCCCCTCCTCTTTCTCTCTTTTTACATTACCTCTCCTCTTCACACATGTATGGCAATTCCCTGTTGTTTCAGCAGCTGAGGGATTAGTTTGCCTGAAAATGCCCAATAAACACAGGTGACAACGTTAGCACTTCTGAAATTCTCTTGGATATTAGGTTTTTTAGTGGTTTTAGTTCAAGTATATCCAGTTTTTGAGTAGTAGTATTTTATTATTAGTCTTCATTTGCATATGCTTTAAGGGACAGTAAGAAATATTTCATTCAGTATGTTTACAACTTGATTTTTTAAGATATTTTATTAAATTTAATTTAATTAGCTTTTTTTTAATACAGAACTCTATCATTGTAACTGGATTATGCTTTTTCAATAGTTATATATAATTACAGTAGAACGTTGCCTTGCATAACGAGTAAAATAAGTTGTGAAAAATTGCCTCGCTTAACGAGTGACAAGGAGAGGGAAAGTCCTGTATTGCAGCGGTCCCCAACCCCCGGGCCGCGGACCGGTACTGGTCCGTGGATCAAATGGTACCGGGCCGTCCAAGGAACATTAAATTATTTCCATTTTATTTACTATTGTATTTCCTCGGATTTGTGCGACTTTTAATGGAGACAGAACAACGGAATAAACTGGACATAAGAAACACACTTCGGGTATCATTGTCTCCTATTACCCTCATATTAACCTATTAACCGTCTCGTTGCAAAGAAACAAACTCAGGATTCTCATTGATTTAGCGTACTAGTGAGTTAAAATTTTAAATCACATTATATTCATTTTTTGGTGTAACTGTATATTACTTTAAAGGCATTTTTAAATACAATTAAATTAAAATTATTAAATTAAATTAATCTAAAATATAAACAATCAACGTCCCCCTTCAGTGGGCCGCGGTAAAATTATCAAACGTTGGCCGGTCCGCGGCGATCGAAAGGTTGGGGACCGCTGCTGTATTGTGTGCATGTTCAGTCTGTGTTTATCACTCATTCTGCTAGCATCTTAGTGTTGCTTGTGTTCACACGTATTACATATAAACATCAACAACCATAGCCTGTTATATAATAAACACAAATTACCTAACTTCACTGCCTGTAACTGGCGTTTGTCTTCTCCAATACGAAGGACTTTGCAAACATTTTCGAACCATATAGGGAATTCCGTAGCGCCTGAAGAAGAACCACATTAGGTTCGAAAATGTTTGCAAAGTCCTTCGTATTGGAGAAGACGAACGCCAGTTACAGGCAGTGAAGTTAGGTAATTTATCAACTCCGGTGTTTTAATTTCTATATAGTTTATAATAAACACATCAAATGATATGCAAAATTCTTGGGCTATGTAAAGGCTATGATTAAATATTAGAAATTAATTAGACTAGAGGTAGGCAGTTATGCTGCCATCTCGTATTAAATTTAATGCAATCTCGTATTTATAATTACAGTATTAAATTTAATACAAGATGGAAGCATAACTTCCTACCTCTAGTCAAATTATTTAATTTCTAATATTTAATTATAGCCTGTACATAGCCCAAGAATTTGGCATATCATTTGGCATGTTTATCTGACATATTATCTGTGGTTTTTTTGTTTCTGCAAATCAAATTTGCATTCCAGGTTAGGTCATTTTGCACTAGAAGAAAAGATGATTCACACTCCTTAACAATGTATATTGTACAATTTTCTTTGAATAAACATTATACATAAAATATTTGAGTATTTTTTTTTGGCATGGAACACATTATCATATTTTACATTAATTTATATGAGAAAAATTGTTTCGCTTAATGATTGTTTTGCATTACAAGTAAGATTCTGGAACAAATTATGCTCATTAAGCGAGGTTCTATTGTAATTATATTTAGATATCCTGCCACAGTTTATATAATTTTGTTCTCAAAAGCAATGCAAAAATTTACATATCTGTTCTTTTAAGTGAGAAAAACTTTTCAGTGGATTTTTTTTAAAATATAGTTTACAGATTTAAGAAATTAACTGAAAGCATAATAAAAGACTTGTTGATGAATTTTTTCATTACTTCAAAATGAATATTGATACATATAGATAAATGATGACTCCTTTAAGCCACTGCAAACTAGTAAGTGTGGTTGTATGTGGAATGTATTGGGTTGTTCGGAAAGTAATTTAGTTTTTTTTTTAATCACCAGACGGATTAGTCGTATTTTTCCTGCCATTTTCATTCTAAACCATATTATCATTATATATTTTGACAGCTAGCATTTTAAGGCTTATTTGTAAAAAATTTTGTGGGATTTTGTGCAATTGTTTATTTTTTGTGTCCAATCAAATATGGAAGATCGAAAGCAACATTTTTGGCATATTTTGCTCTTTTATTACCAGAAAGGTAAGAATGCTGTTCAAGCGAGAAAAAAATTGTGTGACGTGTATGGAGAAGATGTATTGACAGAATGACAATGCCAAAACTGGTTTACGAAATTTCGTTTTGGCAATTTCAATATTGAAGATGCACCACGTTCTGAATGGCCAGTTGAAGCCAATGAAAACAAAATAAAGGTACTGATTGAAGCAAACTGCCGAATAACGACACGTGAAATCACTAAGAGATTACATTTGTCAAATTGAACCATTTATGATTACTTGAAACAAATTGATTTTGTTTCAAAGCTTGATATATGGGTTTTACATGTTCTTAAAGAGAGATGCTCTCTTTGGTGGGATTTTAAGAAAAGTTTTTTTTTTGGAGCTTTTACCAGACAATTTAACAATTGATTTGAAAGTGTACTGCCATCGAGTAAACAAATTGAGTAATATCATCAAACAGAAAAGGTGGCCAGAATTGATCAACAAAACAGGTATAGTGTTTTACTACAATAATGTCAAATTTCACACAAGTTTGGAACTGGTCAGAAACTGTTATAACTTATAGGATTTGCTATCACACCAACCATATTTGCCAGATCGAACACACTCAGATTATTACTTGTTCTGGTTTATACAAATTTTTTTTAACTGTAAGACATTTACTTGAAATGACAATGTCAAAAATCACTTGGATCAGTTTTTTGTAAGCAACAATCAAAACTTTTATGAATGTGAAATCATGCTACTACCAGAAATGATGGCAAAAAGTATTTGACCAAAATGGTTGATATATAATTCAATAAAATATTTATTTATTATAAAAATATTGTGTTTTTTTCCATGGAAAAAAAAAGAAATTATTTTCCGAACAACCCAATATATAAAGTAAAATAGTAGACAAATTTTTAATATCACAAGGTGTAGTAGTAGTATCTCCCTCTCAAATATAATATCACAAGGAGGTAACATCAGAGGTGATTTTTATGATCATGTGACTGTTTTTCTTTGTTGATCTGATGATGAGCTTTGATGTCATTCCTTGTGATATTACTCATGATGTAGTTTTAAAGAACCAAAGAGCATTTCATCTATTCTTTTATAATCAATATTATCACCTTTTTAAATATTCCAGGAAATGATTTAATATCGTAAAAATGTTTTCGATCGTCTTTTACGATCTTCATCAGTTAAATGATAAAGTAAAAAAAACCTACTAAAGGTGATAATTTTGATTAATTCTTTCTAGTTCCAGTACAAGTTAATATTTTTATTATCCTTCTATAAACTATTGCTTGGTAGTTTGTAAAATGGCAACAATCGGTGACAACAATTTGTTGGTGTTAGCTTCAGCTGCTTTCATTTGTTGCTTATTTGACAGAAATTTAATAAATAAATGAAAACATAAATGGGACTGGATAGAGAATGGACTTTCCATCTGATAAGTACTGTACTTGTACTATACATAACTTTTATAATTTTAATAAATTCAATGAAATAATTTATTATAAAAATAAACTTTAAAATTTTTTTAATGGGATCAATATTTTTTCCATTTAGATTAAAAAAATATAAATAAAAAAAATTTTCTTTTAAGTTTTTTTTTCCTGTATAGAAAGAGAGTGAAAATTTTTATTAATTTATATGTTTATGAAACAAAAAAAAGCACTTTTGGCATTTCACAAATATTTTACATTGTTAGAAAGAAGACAAAATGCATAAATTAAACATATAATCATAGTTTTTGATGTAATGCTGACAATTTCACAATTTTAGAATAAAAACTAGTTCAGTTTTTTTTATGTGCCCTCTAGAGAAGAATGTATAATCTCACTTAAACAAGCATACCACAGAGGTTGCCCACAGAGCTCTTCAATGATTCAATGATTTGATAAGAAGCATACCAAATCTGTGCAAGGCTGAAAATACATGTGTAATATCAAATTTTGTGCTGTTTTGACTCTTGATTTATGAAATATAAGTATATTGATTATGCTTAACTTTTGGACATTAGTGTATAAAAATGTTTTCTATAAGAATGTCTGCTGTATATATATTGTCATTTAGATTTAATATAATAAACCTTAATTAAAAAAAAATTCTTTGACTTAAAATTTACTTATGAAATATTTTCTACAGTACAAAAACATCATGAATGGAAAGAAGACTACAAATTTAGGAATTCCTCCTCGTTGGTTAAATTGTCCTCGGAAAGGCATCATAATTACAGGTATGGTATAAAATAAATTTATAACTTAATTGTAATGAATTACATGATAAATTAAACATTATATAAATATGTAATATTGATAGTTGAAATTACTAATATATTAAAAACTTTGATAATCAAATCTTATTACTAAATTAGTTCATTATTCTGTTGATTGCATATTGAATATATTCGATTAATATTTAATTCAATAAGAACTACAAAAAAAATATAGAGAATAGTAAAACATAGTGTTAAAAAATGTATTCAAAGTACTATTTAAAAAAATACTAACTAAACATGAAACTCTGCATTTTTAAAACTTAATGAAACATCAAGCACCTTCTATCACTGAGAAATGTTTATTTAACAAAACACTAACATTTTCAGTCTAATAGGATAAACATAAACATTTCTGAGCAATAGAAGGTGTTTGATGTTTCATTAAGTGTACTATATAAATATCACATTTTATGTGAATAACCAAACAAGTAAAACATTTTTACTTTATAATAAATATATATTTGCTTGCTTTAGAACTGTGTTTTGAATCTGTAATTCCTTATTTAATCTATATTAAATTTGTAATTGAATAAAGGATGTTGAATGGTCAAGTATTTTCTGAATAAACTATTTTACTTAGAAAAAGGAATGAATAAATATATAATTGAAGTGATTTTGGTAAATAATAAATTTTAAAAATGCAATTACATTAAAAAATGACAGTGATTTTCAAATGTGTCATACAATTTAAAGTTAAGTTATTGACCCTTCAAAAATATGTTAAGAGTTAAATGCTATTAAATGGTTAAAGCTATTAGTTAACTAATACATAAACTTTAATCATTTGGAATATATTTTATAATTATTGTATTAGAAAAATTAGATTATTATATTTTACAGGAAAATTTCTTCCTTTCAAAACTCCTTTAAATGAAGTTTATGACAATGAAGTGCCACTTGAAAACAGGTTTTCTCCTAGTATGTTGATATCTTCATTAAAGAGTTATAAGGTGTGATTATTCTGAATATCTAATTTTACATTATTCTTCAGTAAGATATGTATTTTAAAAATAGAAATTTATTAGAATAAACTTAAATATGTGTGTATACATACTTATGCTTATACACAGTTTTTTAAAATGAATGCTACCATTTTAAATTACTGTAATTATGTTAGTTATCATCTAAGAAGTATACAATTACAGTACATCAATTGATAGAGTAACTGTCTGAGATTCATCTACATCTGCATTCAATGTCTTATTGTCTACTACTTCTAGGAAGTGCTGTAAACAAAAGTGGAGACTCTGCAACAGAGAAAGCACTTCATGTTCTGCAGTGTGCAAAGTCAGAATCACTCATTATTGTGCAACGTGATCAGTGCCGTAATTAGCCATTTCTGTGCTCTGTGCAAGAATTTGCATTTAGGCCCCTTAATTAATTAGGTTTGGGAAAATAATAATAGAAATACGCTCCCTTCCAAGTGGGCCCTGTGCGGGTGCATCTATTGCACCTGCCTAGTTACGGCACTGAACATGATTATTCTGCAGGAGCTGTAGAATTGTGTCTGCTATGGTAGGAGTCACAATGGATATGCTGTAGCTTTTTCCAAATTCTTCCTATGCTCTAGTGAGCTCAGGAAGAATTTGGGTATCAGTCAGATGTGTGCCATGTGACATGAGCACATATTGAAAAATTGTAATGGACAAATGTGAAACTTGGGCAGTTTTTCAATGTTTTAAGATAATAATTAACATAATTACAATAATTTAAAATGGTACCGTAACATTCTTTTTGGAAAACCTTGTATATACAGACACATGCAAAAAACAAGCAATACTTATTAAGCTAATAATGTTTTATTTTTAAATTACTTATAATTTATAATAGTCAAACTTGTTTATAACAGAATCCCAAGGGACTGAACAACTCTTCTGTAGTAGACAGGTTTCCACTATATACAGGTTACCTACTATAGATATCCTTTGATTAATGCGATTAATAAATTTCTCAATGTTACCATGTATATCAGAGTTATGTTAATCAAATACAGTGGTACTTCAGTACTCAATCAAACAATCACCACTGGCTAGAACAAATTTTTGGTTAATAACAAATATTTTTATTTTAACTTCAATTTTTTTATTCATCTGTAAAAACATTGTCTAAGATAAAAATGAGTAACTAATTTAAAACAAACAAAACCTTACTGTTGCCTAATTTCATTCAACAAAATTATACTCAATTCAGTTTGTTTTCTCATAAGTGGAAAAAAAAACAAACTGCATGCGGAACGCAATCATTAGCATGTTTTACAACTACACTGGTGTGCAAAACTTAAGGATGAAAGTAACATTCACATGTTGTGTCACTGCCAAGTAACATAGCTCGATGAAACTTGGCCCATACATAGAAAGAACTGCTACAGTATAGTACAGAAGGTAACTGACAGAAATACGTAATGAGACAAACAGAAATGACACTTTTATTCAACGACAATAATTACACTAAAGTCACCGCGATTTCTGATGATCCTCTGGACATTACAAAAAGGTGGGACATGATTCTTAGTAGGGTGTGTGATCACCACAGACAGCAATGCACGCTCTGCAACGTGCTCCCATGCTTGCCACAAGGTTGGTAAGGAATTCCTTTGGTAGGACGTTCCACTCCTCCACCAGTGCAGTTGACAACTGCTGGATGGTCGTTGGTGCATGTGGACATGCTGCAATACGTCTCCCCAATGCACCCCACACATGCTCAATGGGATTTAAGTCGGGGGAACAGGCAGGCCAGTCCATTCACCGAATATTATCTTGCTCCAAGAGCTCCTCCACCTGCACTGTTTGATGCGGTCGAGCATTGTCATCCATAAAAATGAAGTCAGGGCCGAATGCACCTCCGAAAAGACACACATGGGAAAGGAGTACAGTGTCACAATAACATTGACCAGTGACAGTACCGCGTTAAAAAATTTGGAGGTCATTACGCCCATGCAACATTATGCTTCCCCACACCATAACACCTTGACCACCAAAATGATCATATTAGACAATGTTCCTGGGTGCATTATGTGTTCCCACCTTTTGCCATATGAGGGTACATCCAGAATCACTACTCAGACTGAACCTGCTCTCATCTGAGAAGAGCACACGACCCCACTCCTCATTGGACCAGTCCCTATGCTCTTGGCACCATCACAAACAGTGCCGCCAATGTGCTGGTGTCAATGGAATGCAACATACTGGTCGTCGTGCAAAGAGACCACCCCTATACAGTCACCATGCCACTGTGGAGCGTGAGATTGCGTGCCTTGCAGTCCTGTTAAATGTGATTGCATTTGCACCTGCTGATTGACATGGGTCCCTTATTGCTTGTTGCACAATGTAGCGGTCATCTGCTGCTGTAGTTGATCGTGGCCGACCACCTCCTCTCCTTTGGGCAGCAGTGCCTGTGGTTTGGAACACTCCCCATGCACATGAAACAATGCTGTGAGCAATACCAAACTCCTGGGCTACACTCATCACACTTCGTCCTTCTTCCAGTCTCCCAATGATTCTTCCCCGTGTGAAGTTATCCAAATGTTGTCTCTGGGACATGTTGTAATAAAGAACACTACCACAGTGCACTGTAACTGCTCACTGATTGACACACACTGTCTTTTACCATTTCTTCAACTGCCTCGTGTTGTGTGGCCAGCCGCATTTGGCACTATAGTCACACTGACCTGATGTCATGTGACGTCAAGCTTTCTGTGCACAACCGGGAGACCTCTGGGAAGATGCTCCTGCACTTTCATTCATTTCCATTAAGTTGTTCATAATTTCTGTTACTTTATCTATCCCGTCCTTAAGTTTTGCACACCAGTGTATTTCAAGTGGATGAAGTGTTTCAGCAATACGTGTCTGTGACACACTAAGATTTATTAATCTTTTTAATTATCTTGTTAAAGATTCGTTAATCTTTAACAATTTCTTCTTGCAATTTCTCTTCAACAGCTTTTGGGATCCCATATGTTTTGTATCCTTTAGTTCAAAATTTCATGAACAAAACTTTCGAAACCACATCTGACACATTTGCGGGCGATTGCAGAGACAGAGTTTACATTAAACGACGTTTATCAACAAACGGCCTATAGCCGTTGGCTGGCTGAACCGCAGTTTAAAATGTGTTGCAAAGACGACGATCGTCTATTTCTGACCGTTCTCTAAACGAACTTCGGCAAAACATTGGCTCTTACTTACTTCGCTATTACTCCCCTGTTTTAGGAGTCGTTCGGCCAATCAGGTTATTTCTTCGTGACGTCAGAAATGGTCGTCAGCTATATTCCGAAAGCTTAAGGCCGTCAAAATCATTGTTCGGCAATTAATGACAATCCTTTTCCATTTCGATATTTAATTTCGTCGCCAATACGATTTAAAATATGAACAAATCCATATTTAGAAAATTTATACCGAATTCGAAATTCGTCTTCGGAATAGATTTTTAAGGAATTATTTCGACATCTTATTACTGTCGAAATGAATAATTTTAAATATTTTATTATTAATATTGCATTTTTTTTAATATCTATAAACAGATTTCTGTAATTATTAAAATTGTCTCTTTTGTTTAACAGTACAATGACTCGGAAATGCATTAACGTTTTATAACCGACACGATACTCGAATTGTAAATAAATGCATCTGATTTAAATTAAATTGAAGTTTTAAGTCTTCACCCATTTGAATGTCGAAATTGGAACATTTAAAACAAATTTAAAGTATTTAATTTTGTTGTTTTTGCGCCGAGCAATTAATTAATGAATAATTTTGTCGATTCGTACCGTTTACAACATTTATCGAAGGAACGATATCTGTTTTTATCTAAACTTTTCCACGAACAAAGCTACCACTCGAATCGAAAAGCCCTCTAAACCTGCTGTCCAGTGAGTCTAGAAAGTAGGTCAAATAACTTGTTTCTAATCGCTGTCTACATTGTGGCGGGCGAGAAACGCCGTCTCTGCAATGAAATTTTTCTGAACAGCGGTCTACCCGATCTGTAAACCGCTGTCGGCCTCTAAACTTTGTCTCTGCAATCAGCCCTTGGAGTTTATAAGCATTGAGTATTTTTTACTGTTTGTATAGCGTGATAGCCTTTACAAAACTTAAAAAGTGTGCATAATATGCTCAATGTACATTTTATCTGCAGACATTTTGACTAGATTTTATTCAAATGAAATGTTGTGTAAAAAAAAAAGTTTGAAATAAGCATCAAAACAAAGAATACAATCTTACATCGGTAATAATGTGTTAAATTTCACAACTTATAATTACATCACATATTTATGTTAAGTAAAAACAGCTGTTAATAAAAATACACAAAAATTTTCCGTTTAAAATTACAATAAAATTACTGTAATTGTGAGGTTAGCTGATTGGGTGGAAAGTTTCATTACATTCGAGTGGTCAAAACAGTCATGTGGGCGTGGAAAGACTCACAGAGACAGGTTTACCATTTAAAACCGTTTAATAGATATATAAATTTTCTTACAACTATTCTTATAATGAGGCGTAATGCCTATCCAAAGGAGGGAAACAAGTCCATTCAAAAAGTCCAAATGTTCTGACGATTGTTTCATTTTTTCTGGCGAAGATGATGTGGAGAGTGACGGACCCGGGATGCACAGCACAACTTGTAGAGATGACCTCCGATGACTATGTGTACCTGGGCGAATCTTGACGGGACGGGATAGCGAAAACAAATCCTGGGATGTCGAACAAGTCTTCATTGTTGAATGACAGGAGCACAAAATACAGGAGAGGAACACTATGAACCAAGAACTTCCTGTCCTTGAAACACACAGTTTTATAGGTTTTTCCTTTAAAGCCATCTTTTCATTGGTCCTGACTCGTCACCTGGTGACAATTTGAAACCGATCGGAGGGCGTGGGAGAGGTCAGTTTTGCGACTAAATACAATTCCTCTCCAGCCATGTTTTCCTTGAATTTAGTCTTTTCAATTGTTTAAAT